CGCCCCCCCGCTGCCCAGTGCTGCCCTTGGCCTCCCCCAGCCCCATCCTGACACCCCCTGTTCACCACGGTCACCATCGGGAGCGTCCCCGGATCCCCATCCTTGTCCCACCCCCAATCCCGACCTTTCAGAAAAGCCACAGGCAGAACAAACAGGGATTTAGGGGCTGGGCGAGCTCAGCAGATTCCCCCTGTCCCGCGGGGGGGCTGAACCCCCTCTCTAGGCAACCCTCCCTCGGTGCCCCCCGAGTGCCCCACGCCGAGGCCGGGTTAGTGCCAGGTCTGTGTTTATTTGCAGCTTCTCTCCACACATGAAGCAGTGGTGGGGAGCGCATCGGGATTGGGGGGCCCTGGGGTGGCACAGGGGGGGCAGCCCCAGGCCAGACGGAGCTGAGTGAGGACAATTAACAACCAAACTCAGTGACACCCCGTGTGCAGTGAGGGGGACATGGGTCTGCACAGGGAACGGCCCTGGCCCAGGGGTGGCTGAAGCTGGCCCTGCACCCCAGGGCGGGGTCTGGGGGTGCCCCCAGCACCCCACTGCCCACCCCACAGGGCCTTGCAGTGCAGGGTGTGGTGCGGGAGGAGCCAGGGGGGCTCTCCCTGCCCAGGATGGCGTGGGGCTGCCCCATGGCTGGAGGTTATTGCTGGACACTGCTGGTGAGTGGGGTCCCTGCCCCGGGCATCCTCGCCAGCCCAGGGGGTGCACAGGGTGGCAGGAGAGGAGGGTGGGGACACTGGGAGGGGATGAACACGCACCCCCCCGCCTCAGGGTCCCTGCGGGAGGACCAGAGCTTGCAGGATATCAGAGAGAGAGACGATTCCCTTGACCACGTCGCTCTCGTCCACCACCACCAGCCGGTGAACCTGAGGGGAGCACAGGGAGGGGCTGAGGCCGGTGCGGGGACCCCGACCCGCTCCTGCCCGGCACCGGCACCCCGGGGGACGGTTACCTCGGCCTCCACCAGGCGGTTGATGATGGTTTCCAGCGTCTCGTGCTTGTAACACTTGAGGACACCCTCAAAGTAGTGGGAGCGGTGCTGCAGCGCCCGCGTCACCGTCACGTCCAGGTTGTTGTAGGTCTTTTCGGCCGCCAGGTTCTGGGGCAGGGAGAGGCATTGAGGACACAGGTGGGTCCCGTGTGGCCCTCACCCCCTCGCATCCCCCTCCAGTTCAGGCTCTGCCCCCTCCCCACCTCCACAGCCCCCCCCCAGTACTCACAATAACATCGAATTTGGAGTAAATATCCACCACTCGCCCTAGGGAGGGAGCGAAAGGGCTATGAGAGGCACCCGTGGTGCTGGGTTTCCGTACAGCCAGCCCCCAGCACACCGGAGGGGATGTGGACCCTGAGTCAGTGCTCTGGGGACACCTACCACACGCCATGCCCTGTGCTGGGCCCCACCTTACCCGAATCGTCGACGACCGGCAGAGCGGACACACGGTGCTGCACAAAGATGCCCAGCGCCACGTAGATGGGGGTGCTGGTCCGCACCATGGCGATGTTGTTGTAGGTGCCGATCTGCAGTTCCTCCAGCGTCTTGGACATGAACTCGGGCTTTGGGACCTCTGCTATCTGCAGGGGACGGGGAGGGGGACAGTGCTGATGCTGGCTCAGCCTGACACGCCCCAGGCCCCGTGGTGCTGCCGGCTCTGGCCACCCTGGGGCCCGGGCCATGGTCCTAGGAGTGAAAGCAGAGAGCGCTGGGTGCGGAGCGGTCTGGGGGACCCACGGGCAGCGGTGGTGCAGGCAGGGGCAGCGGGGACAGGCTGTGGGGTCCATGCAGCGTCCCGGGGGGTCCTCCCAGCACCCACAACACGCAGTGAGGCACCAAAGCTGCGCCCGCTCCAGCGCCCCGGAGCCGGTGGTACCTGGCACAGCCTGGGCTGAGCTCGTCTCAGGGTGGCCCCTACCGCTGCCGCGGGGCAGGAACGGGACTTACAAAGAGTTTGAGGAACTTGAGAATGCGTTTGTGGGTGAGTATGTAGAGCGTGTTCCCCGAGTCAGGGTCGATAACGGGCAAGCGGTGGATCTTGTTGCGGATGAGGGAGGAGACAGCATCAAAGAGGCTGTGGGGCAGAAGGGAGAGAGGGAACTGGGGCTTGTCTTGACCCCGGCCTCGCACCCAAGGGCACCAGAGCCAGCCATGACCCTCTCCCCGCAGCACAGGGATACCTGGCATTAGGGGAGATGCAGACCAGTGGCTTGAAGGAGTCCTGTAGGTAGACCTCTGTGGGGAGAGGAAAGGCTGAGGGGATGGGCAGCGCCATGGGCAGGGAGGGTGCAGAGCTGTGGGGCTCCAGGGGCCTCAGGTAGATCTGGAAGGCTGGGAGGCAGCCGGCAGCCATCCCCCTCACCTCTCCACGTTTCGATTTTGTGCTCCTCCAGCTCATAGATCTGCACCTGGGAATAAGGAGAGAAACCAGGATCAACCATGGCCCTGCGCGGGGCCAGACAGAGCCCAGGTCCCAGGGGAACCAGCTCCGCGGAGACACCAAGTCTTTACCATGGGTGACTTGTAGTAGCGGTGCAGGATGTTGATGAAGTCGGTGATGGTCAGCATGCCTAGGGGGACGGGATGGGTGAGCGGGGTCCCACCAGCTCCCCGCTGCCCCCCAGGACCCCCCCATCCCGCTCGCTCACCCACAAAGTTTTGTTTCTTGCTGTCCCACAGCGGGGCAGCCCGCACGCCATTGGTGACCAGTGCGAAGAAAGCCTTCTTCACCTGCAGCCGGGGACACAGGGGACACCTCATGAGGGACTGGGCACCCCACGAGAGAGCAGGGACCCCCTAGTAGTCCATGTCCCTCCACCCTGACTTACAAGACCTTTACGGGGTGGGTGAACAGCCCTAAGACCATCCCCCAGATCCCAGTTAAGGGCTCCTGGTCCCAGTTAAGCCCTCAGAACTCCAGCCTGGTCCCTGTCCTGCAGCTCCCAGCCCCAAACCTGATGCCCAGCCCCCGCCCACCTGCAGGGAAGTGTCGAAGACGACCAGTTTGGAGCTGGTGGGGATCAGGTCGTAGCAGCGGTGGGACTTCATGAAGGCGGTGTAGGCGCCGCGGTGGCGCTCCCCTGGGGACGGGCAGCGTGAGGTGCCTGTTGACAACGGGGAGACACCCCAAACCCCGAGGCACCCCAGAGCTGGGGACACCCCACCCCAGGGCAAGAGGGCACCCCAGAGCCGGGGACACCCCACACTTTGGGACACCCCAAACCCCGAGGCACCCCAGAGTCGGGGACACCCCACCCCAGGGCGAGAGGGCACCCCAAACACTAGGACACCCCACACCTGGGGACATCCCAAACTCTGGGACACCCCACACCCTGGGACACCCCAGACACCAGGACTCCCCACCCGGGGGCCCGCAAGACCCTGGGGACACCCGAATTTACGCTGCCCCTCCCAGCCCCGGGCCGCCCCGCACCCCGGGACCCCCCCGACCCTCCCAGTATCACCTTCCGGCCCCGGGGGACCGGGCTCCGCCGGGCTCTCCGCGGCCGGACCGGGGCCGGGATCCTGTGGACGGATACGGCTCAGCTCAGCTCGGGCCGCGGCCCCGCTCCCGTGTCGCCCCCCGTCCCCTTCCCTCCCGGTTCCTCTTCCAGCCCCGCTCCCCCCTGCCCCGCCGTCACCCCCCGCCACCTCCATGGTCCCGCTCCGTTCCGCCGCCGCCGCCCCAC